TACAACCTCCATCTACAACTTTCAAAACTGGTTATTCCAGTTTGTTCTACTGAAAGTAAATTCTAGCTAGTGACATGGAGTATTGTATAATGCAGAATATTTAAATAAAAACATTGATTTCGAGTTGACTAACTTTATCTGAATCTTAGACAAAATAAGTCTACTTTGTGAAATTGGGGGGCATGTTTATTATTGCATACCCCAAAGATTTGGTACAAAAAAGACAAGGCTTTATTTGCTTGTTTTGTCTATTTACTTTCTTAAGGAATGCATCCTTTTGTGATTAAAATCTTTTTCTTTTGTGATTTTTTTTTTTACTTTTAATCCTTTTTTATCAGGCTATTTTCTTTGTGGAATGGACCTCTCAGTGATGTTGTTGATAATAACCCATATAAGTCATGACAATATACAAAATAAAGATAATAAAAATAGCTGCTTATGTGGATATGAAATACATTTATGACAATATAAAGATATTCATACATTCCATTTGATTGTGTGCCTGAAATCCCTTCCAATTTAATAAGATGTCAAGAGAGCTATTAATAAATGAGAGCTAAGCACCATGGTGAAGCGTGGGCACTGACTTCTTAAAATTATAGGAAAAGGAGAGCTTTTTAATTGGACAGGATGTTACATTGCCAAAATCACAGGGGAAAATATCAAATCCCTCAGCAGCAAAATACTTTCTGTCCATATCAATGATAAAGAATAAAATAGAATTTTTTATTTCTTTTCTTTATGAACTAAAAGACTACATACAGACATTCAGGTCATGTGAGCTTGTTAGTGTTAACGAGGTACAGGGTAGCGCACTAGTCATGTGCCTATAGTGCTTAGTGAAAACCAACTGATGACTCCTCAAACACAATTATTTTTTCCTTCTCTTCTGTGCACATTCCAGACATCCATGTGGACACAAGGATTTTATACAGTGAGACTATGTTTGCAATATATAAAGCTCATGTACAGTTTTATCTGAAATACAGATTTTTTTTCTATCATAAAATACTCTTGGCTTCTAAACATCTTAAACAAAAAACTTGCTCATATAAATTAGATGTTCATGTTGCTAAATCACCTGTATAGCATTTAAGTGAGTGCTACATAATGTTAAAAGTAAAATATCAGAGAAGTTTCCATTTGCTATAGGTGGTGATTAGCACAGCTTTTCAAAGTGCAGATAATAAAAGACAGAGAGTGAGCAGCACTAAATAGAACATCTACACTACATGCCTTCCTCCCAAGCTTCAGGGATCTTCGCAGAAGAGCAGGTGGAGGGGCTTGGTCTTGCCCCAAATGATGTGACAGATTTTGATGATTCCCTCATGGGAGGCCTCACTCTCTCTGAGGAGTGGTTGGGAGGTGGGATGGGGAGATTGTGGCAGAAGTACGAGGAAGGGAGGGGACTGGGATTGGTATGTAAAATAAGATTGTTTTAATTTAAATTAAAACATTAATAAACATCCAAGAAAACAATGCCCTCCAGACACAACAGCCTATCTGAAGCTCAGGGATCATTTCCAAACAGGGTTAGGAAAATACTATAAGACCCGGAGGTTGTAGATGACCACAAGGAAACAGCATAATCCATGCAGAATAGGAAAATTGCACATGAAGGTTATAAAAACACACCCAAGACATGCTCAAGCTCAAGCTCAAGCCAGACCAAATCCCAGAATAAAGAAGGAAATTAAACACAAGGCCCCATCCCTGGCAAGGAGCTATTGGTAGTTGATAGTTTCTGGGGGGATAGTAAGCTTTCTCTGACAGCCATGATCCAATAGGAGGACACATCCAAGAATATTTAGGCAGCAAAAATTATACTTAGTGGGTGACAAAGGGGACAAGAGGTTGAAAGGATAGGGAAGGGATGTGGAGTTGAATCTGTAAGGAGTGGGGTAGTAGGTTTAATATGGTTGAAACTCATTGTATTAAATTCATAAAGAAGTAATTTAAGAAAGGGAAAAGTGAAAAAATTAAAATTTCGTATTTTGTCTCACTCTCTTCCTCCTAAATATACCCATACTTAATTATGTACAAGCACAGAAAGTGTCTTTGTAATAAGTGCATGTTACCATTAGAGGGACTGTACTTTCATAAATAAAACAATGTTCAGAATTTTAGTGTCACATTTTCTTCATTATAAAGAAGGCATTAGTTGTTTTAGACTATACTTTGCTCAGACACCAAGTGATGATATCTAATGGTAGAAGTAATGTAATGAATTTTTTTAAAAAACAGTGTTGGCCAAATACAGCTCAAAATAAGGAAGACAGCATAAACCACCCTTCGGATAAACTAAAAAATATATACAACTTTGATAAATTCTATTAAGATTCAGATGAATTAGAATAATTCAAAGTCCATGTGCAAATTTCCATAGTCTATTTTATCTGAACCTCAAGACACTATAATTATTTTGAGTAGAATGGAATATAGAGTCATATTTTTAAAAGGATAAGGACCTCTGTAAAACAGGTCTGAAGTGTTTACCTATCTCCCAGTTTTAAGCACATATCACAGATTAAATAATTCTGTTCAATAATATAGATTGTCAGAAATCTCCTGAGATGGAAAATTTTAAACTAAAGCTTTTTCACCACTTGTAATTTCATGTACAGACAAGAACACAGTAAATTTGTTGAGAGGTTCTATCTTTTCTAAGTTTGTTACTTAAATTTTCTGGGAAGCATATATCTTACCTAGACTTTGAAATTAAACTTTTTCAAAAGGTCTTAGAATCCTACTGAAGAAACTTCCTGAAACATATACACATACACAAGAAATACAATTTGGAGTTACTGTATAATGAGGAACGCAGTGACCCTGCTAGACACCTTATGCTACAAAATAAAATTCACACTATTGGTTTTGTGATACATCTTTTTGAGTCATTGGCCAAAAGGCTACTAATAGACAATCCCAAACATTACATGCTATTTCCAGTGCTTTGGTTACCCTCCATAATCTGATAATAAAGATTGTGAAGACACCATATAATTATGGTATTAAACATGGGGAGATTGATTTGGTGCTCAATTAGAAACTTTACTACTTGCAATTTAACCTAACTTTTATGTAGGTATTGGGGATGTGAACTTGGATTCTCAGCTTCCCCATCAAGTATTTTACCAATTGTATTACTCCCTACACACATACATACACACACTCACGAAAGTACACACACACACACACACACACACACACACACACACACACACACACACACATTAGATCCTTTTTTGTGCTCACAACATAAATATATGTTGGTACAAGGACATCCTGTGCTACATAGCTGGATCGATACCATCTCAAATCATTAAATAGATAAAAAAGCAAATAAATAAATAAGCATAAAACAGAAGGTAGGCGGGATAACTAGGCTCTGTGGAGCTATGAGTTTCAGGAGCTGAGATTCTAATATACGGAATGTAAGTTTGGCTGTGTGTCCAAACTACACACCAGCAAAGGTTCTGAGTATAGAGGTACCAGGCTAAGTGTAACATCTGTGAACCTGGCAGAAGCAGGAAGCAAATGGCAGGGCAATAAAAGGCTGGTGACAAACAAGTTTCATATCCAACCCTAACTTCAACTGGGCCTTTGCATAAAGTTTAATTAACTAATTAATTATTTTTGTAATAATAAGTACTGAGAACACACATTCCTCAACAATTCCAAGTACTTTGACTCTTGTTTGAGGACTACATTCTATTTTTATTATTTTTATTTAAATTAGGAACAAGCTTGTTTTACATGTCAATTGCAGTTCCCTCTCCCTCCCCTCCTCTCCTGGACCCCACCATCCCTGACCTGAACAAGAGGGAGGTCATGGGCCCCAGATTGATAGCTGGGAAACCAGCATAAGACAGACCCAGATAACTGAACATGGGAGTCAGTTAGGAGGCCTGGGCAATCTATGGGGCCTCTAGTAGTGGATCAGTATTTATCCCTAGTATATGAATGGACTTTGGGAGCCCATTCCACATAGAAGGATATCCTTTCAGCCTAGGAACATGGGTGAGGACCTAGGCCCTGCTCCAAATTTTATGACAGACTTTTGAGATTCCCCAATGGAAGGCCTCATCCTCCCTGGGGAGTAAAACTTATTTATTAAACTTCTGCCTCCTTTCATCTAGACTGTCAGAATGTTCGATTTAGTGAAATGGTAGGTTTTCTTTAACAGGTAATAAAATACCAGCCAGAGAAACTGAGTGATAGATATCATTAAAAATGAGTATGTACACAGTCAGATTTTACTCTGTGATACATCTCATCATGATGAACACAGGGACAATGAACTTGAACAAGACTGAGACAGTCAGAGGACAGATAGACAAAGTAATAGCTATGTCATTCTGTGATATTAGCAGCAGCCATGGAGGTACTAAATGGGGGGAACAATTTATTAAAATGACAAATAAGCTGATAGTATCCTAAAGCATACACATTATTTGGCTCATGCTTGAATAAAAGGATAAGAATGGGCTCACATTAGTCTAATTAGTTGCTTCATTTTGGATATGTGGTTTCAAACTACAGAAGTGCACTTAAAAGCAGTTCTTTTTAAAATTAAAATATCACTTCTAATCTACTTTATACTATTAAATGTGTGCTAATAAAATATTTCCTTATAGATCATATAAAGACAAATGAGGATTCTCAGTTAATGGAAGAATATGAGGTTTCTCATACTGACACTTTTCAGATATGGTCTGTGTTCACAGTGGTACCATGTGTGGAAAGGTGCTTTGTTTCCCTGATGCATAGCATCAGAGGGTAAGGTTTCAGTCATTCCAGCAATTCAATTAAATGTCTAGAAAGTCTTCTCTATTGCTTTTCTTTATAACTTTAGAACTTTCTAGCAGTGACAGAGAAATGTTGCATATTTTAAAGTACATTGTTCTCACAAGGATGGAAGAATGGAATGTGTGTGTGATGGAGGAGGGGTGAGGTAAACATAAGTGTTTTTAATCCCTGGGTTTCCATTATCATTACAGGAATAGAAATTAACAGACTCAAGCAATGAGATCCCCATCAAAATCCCAACACATTTCTTCATAGACCTTGAAAGAACAATACTCAACTTTACATGGAAAAACAAAAAACCCAGGTTAGCCAAAACAACCCTGTACATTAAAGGAACTTCTGGAGGCATTACCATCCCCAATTTCAAGCTCTATTATAGAGCCATAGTCCTGAAAACAGCTTGGTATTGCTATAAAAGTAGACAGATAAACAATGGAATGGAATTGAAAACCCTGATATTAACCCACACACCAATGAACACCTGTTTTTTTACCAAGAAGCTAAAGTTATACAATGGAAAAAAAAGAACACATCTTCAACAAATGGTGCTAACATAACTGGATTCAGACATGTAGAAGATTGTAGATAGATCCATATCTATCACCATGCACAAAACTTAAGTTCAAATGGATCAAAGACCTCAACATAAATCCAGCACACTGAACCTCTTAAAAGAGAAAGTGGAAGGTACCCTTGAACAAATTGGTACAGGAGACAGCTTCCTGAACATAACACCAGTAGAGCAGACATTGGGATTGACAATTAATAAATGGTACCTCCTGAAACTGAGAAGCTTCTTTAAGGCAAAGGACACAGTCAGCAAGACAAAATGACAGCCCACAGAATGGGAAAAGATATTCACCAATCCCACATGTGACAGAAGGCTGATCACAAACATATACAATGAACTCAAGAAGCTAGATACCAAAACACCAAACAATGAAATTAAAAAGTGGGGTACAGAACTAAATAGAGAATTCTCAACAAAGGAATCTAAAGGGGTTGAAAGACACTTGAGAAAGTGCTCAAAATCCTTAGCCATTAGAGAAATGCAACTCAAAACAACTCTGAGATACCATCTGATACTGGCCAGAATGGCTAAAATCAAAAACACAATGACAGTCTATGACAGAGAGGATGTGGAGTAAAGGGAACACTCCTTCATTGCTGGTGGGAGTGCAAACTTGTAAGACCACTTTGGAAATCAGTATGGCAGTTTCTCAGGAAAATGGGAATCAGTTTACCTCATGATCCAGCAATTCCTCTCTTGGGCATATACCCAAATTATGCACATTTATATAACAAGGACATATATATGTTCAACTATGTTAATAGCAGCATTGTTTGTAATATCCAGAACCTGGAAGCAACCTAGATGCCCCTCAACTGAAGAATGGATAGAGAAAATGTGGAACATTTACACAGAGGAGTACTACTCAGCAGAAAAGAAGCAATCTTGAAATTCTTGAATCTTGAAATTCGCAGGCAAATGGATGGAACTAGAAGAAACCATCCTAAGTGAGGTAACCCAGTCACTAAAAGACAAACATGGTATGTACTCACTCATATATGGATTTTAGACATAGAGCAAAGGATTACCAGCCTACAATCCACATCACCAAAGCAAGTAGTAAACAAGGAGGACTCTAAGAGAAGAATGCATTTCGAGCCCCACCCTGCGCCTCCCCTGCCTTGGAGAAGGGGAAGGGGACAGGATCTCCTGAGCTAATTGGAGCATGGGGCTAGAGGAGAGGGAGCTGGGAGAAATAGATGGGGAGAAGAGGTGGGGAAGGAGGAAATGGGAAAGTAGGAAGTTTGAGTCTGTGGTAGAGGAGAGCAGGATGAGAAATACTATAAAAGAGGGAGCCATTATAGGTTCAAAGAGAGATCTGGCACTAGGGAGATTTCCAGAGATCTACAAGGATGACACCAACTGGCAATATAAGCAATAGTGGAGTGGCTACCCCAAATGCCCTTTCCCTATAATGAGACTGATGACTACCTTACATGCCATCCTAGAGCCTTCATCCAGTAGCTGATGGAAGCAGAAGCAGACACCCACAGCTAAACACTGAACTGAACTCTGGAACCCAGTTATAGAGAGGAAGGAGTGATAAGCAAAGAGGTCAAGACCGGGCTGGTGAAATCCACAGAAACAGCTGACCTAAACAAGGGAAGTACAAGACCCCAGACTGATGTATGGGAGGCCAGCATGGGCCTGATCTAGATCCCTGAATGTGGATGTCAGTGAGGAGGCCTTGGCACTCTATGGGGCCTCTGGTAGCAGATCAGTATTTATCCCTGGCTTAAGAAAGGGAGCCCATTCCATGTGGAAGGATGCTCTCTGAGCCTGTATATATGTGGGAGGTCCTAGGCCTTGCCCAGGATGATATGACAGACTTTGGGGATCCCCCATGGTGGGCCTTAGGGTCCCTTGAGAGTAGAGGGGGGATAGGGTGGGGGGATGGGAGAGGGGGTGAGGGATGAGGGGAGAAAGAGGGAGAAGGGATTGACAAATTAGAAACAAGCAGGCTCCGAGTGGATACTGGATAATCCCAGGGAAGACAAGAAACTATTCTAAGAAAGGTATAGTTCTGGCTGTTGGAGGGCCTGGTGTCATCTGCAAATCACCACCCGGCACATATCTCTAATGTTCCTTGCAGATGAATAGCCTTATCAAAATCTGTTGGCAGGCACTACTTTTCATATAAGAGGTCAGCATATAAACAACTACAGCATTTCTTGATATTGAAATTAGAATTAAGAATAATTTCATAAAACACCACTACCTAACACGCAAGATAAAATATCTGGAAATAATCTCTTACACAAGTATTTGGAGAATAATCTCTGTTGCTTAGAGAAATGTTTAAAAAGATATGAGTTGACTGATGACATGCTTTGTTCTTTACTAGGAAGATGCAATGCTCTTTAGATAGCAGAACCTCAGAGTCAGCGGAGCCGCAGTCAAAATCCCAGCAGGGGGATTATGGAAAGGCCAAAAGTTTGAAGAACAAATATGTGTACTTTAAAGATTCGATCTCAAAATTTATTTTCCCCATTTCTTTCTTTTCTTTTTTATTAAATTGAAAATATGTTATCCCATACAATACACCCAACCACATTCTTCATCCCCACCCTGGTCATCTTTTGTAGCCGTGCAGGTTTATGGAACTGGGTTATCCTCGTTTGAGTTTTTGAAGATTTAAAGAACAGTATTCCAGGTTATAGGTTCAGGCAGAAGAGGGGACTATGAATGCATTGATTGATTTACAATATAGATTTCAGCCAATGATTTAAGGCCAAAAAGTTTTTCAGTATAAAGAAAAATTATTTTTTTATAAATGTTAATCACACAACTACATAAGTCAATGGAAAAATCACAATGTATCAATTATTTTATTATTTACAAAAATAAATTCACACAGATAATATCTAAATATAAAAGTTAAATTTACGCATTCCTGAATGTCAATATGTTTTGCAGTCCCCCTCTCTCCCTCATTTCCATCCTGTCTTCTGTTTTCTATCTGAAGAGATGTCATTTTTCTTCATTGCATGTTTTGTTTAATTATTTTCTGTTTTAACATGAGCCAAGAAGCAATACAACCTATGTTGGATAAAAACTTCTGAACCTATCATACAAAGCAAAACCCATGCTCCTTTTATTTGATTTGCTTAAGTACCTTGACATCACGATGAAAACTTATTAACATAGTAGAGAAAGTCTGCTAACAGTAGGGAATGAACTTATCTGAAGTAATGGAAATGTATGTATTCCTAGGGATAACACACATGCAAGAGTCACAGAAGGCTTGTATTTAAACTATGAGCATTCTATTTTTAAGTAATTTACATTTCAATAAAATATCAATTAGGGAGAGAACATTTGAAGATCGGTACTACTGGAGGCTGAAAAGTAAAATATACAAAAAAAGAAAATTAGATTTTTGAAATATGTAAGCCAAAGATTTGGTTGAGTAACAGGCAAAGAACTGTAAAAGATCACATTTAATAAAGAATTAGCATGGAGCAGTGCTAAATCCAGTAATTGGGGAAATAAGAGTAGAGAGTACATACAACCATTTCATTTTGCTTCCATCATCCCTCTAACAAGCCTGCGTTCAGAGTTAACGTTATGTCTCAACAGTTTGCTTAACTGTTGAATGCACCCAGGGATAGTTAATGAGCTTCCTGAAAAGCTGGGGACAGTTGCCTTACTCCACAGAGAGTCGTTTTGGACAGTTCCTATACAATCACTGAGGGGACAGGGAAAGGCACTGGGAGGAAGAGGGAAAAGTCATGAAACCCTGAGAAACAGCTTTCCATTTTTTCTTAGACTTGCACACTGAAAACAGTGATTGGTAATTTACACTGAAAATGAAAGAAGAAATCAAAGGTGAATTATTAATTAATAGATTAGTAGATAGCATAAGAAATAGATTTGCAATCTCATCAGCCTTCATACAATTAGAAGTATCTAATTGCAGTTTATAAGATGTTATGGTTAGCTATATAAAATCTGAAAAAGTAAGAAGATAGTAAATTTTCCTTCTAGAAAATGTGCCTATGGAAATAGTCTCCTAATTTACACAGATACCTTCACAAAGGTGTTCAATAAAGTATTTTTGAAATAGAAAAATGCTATAAGTAATTGTAAAATCGTTGATAATTACACCCATCAGAATTCTGGCCAGAAACAGGTTGTTTTCAAATTGTGTGATGTCAGGAGAATTTAATGACAAAGCAATTTGAAAACATATTGACCCTATATGTTGAGAATGTAGCTAATAAGACAAGGAGGCATTCCCAGCACTGTCTAAAGGAAAAAGCAGAGTTGTCATCTGGAGAGGAATGAGGAGTCTCCTTCACCGGAGCTGAGAAATTTAGCCAAGAAATACAGGATGCTCATTATACTACTTTTAAGAATAACAGGCTTGGCAAGATGACAGAGCTATAATTCCAGAGCTTGCAAATATGAGGCAGGAGAATCTTGACTTAGAGGCAAACCTGGGTTATATGAGACCTTGTCAAAACTAAATTAGTAAAATAAAAACATTTTAGAAAATTAAATAAGCGAGGAGGAACAGGAAGAGGAGGGAAGAATGGGATGTGGAGGAATACAATGTATTTTGGCCACATTCAGTCGCTCAATCCCACACCCTCCTAGATCCACATCCCTCTTAACTACCCATCAAACTTTGTGTCCTCTTTTTAACCCATCAAATGCAATTTGTGATGCCCAAATACTCTGGTCATAAGGCCATCCATTGGAGCATAGTCAACCTACTTAGAGCATCCAGCCCACTATCCACACTGCCAGA